TCTAGGTGTCTAGTCACGATGTGGGGCAGTTGGTTTGTTATTGTAGGGTCTCGCGGGAGCCACAGGGGTGCTCAGGGGTCTGAGCCTGTGCCTGCTGAATTGTTATTGTAGGGCTGCGCGGGGGGCTGGTTGTCGTTGTAGGGCAGCAGAGGGGCAGAGTACACTGATTTGGGGAGGGGAAGGGCTGTACACACTAGCTTGTTACTCTGGCCTTGCTGAGGGTTATGGAGGCTGCACAAAGCAGATTGTTACTGTAGGATAGCTTGGGGACTGTTGACGTTGTAGGGTTGCTCGGGGGCTGTTGACGTTGGTTTGTTATTGTAGGGTTGCTCGCGGGCTGTTGACGTTGGTTTGTTATTGTAGGGTTGCTCGGGGGCTGTTGACGTTGGTTTGTTATTGTAGGGTTGCTCGGGGGCTGATGACGTTGGTTTGTTATTGTAGGGTTGCTCGGGGGCTGTTGACGTTGGTTTGTTATTGTAGGGTTGCTCGCGGGCTGTTGACGTTGGTTTGTTATTGTAGGGTTGCTCGGGGGCTGTTGACGTTGGTTTGTTATTGTAGGGTTGCTCGGGGGCTGTTGACGTTGGTTTGTTATTGTAGGGTTGCTCGGCAGCTGTTGACGTTGGTTTGTTATTGTAGGGTTGCTCGGGGGCTGGTGACGTTGGTTTGTTATTGTAGGGTTGCTCGGGGGCTGTTGACGTTGGTTTGTTATTGTAGGGTTACTCGGGGGCTGTTGACATTGGTTTGTTATTGGAGAACCCTGCACATATGTGTGCTGCCTTCACACACACTCTGCACAGCTCCACCCACCCCTTCACGCACACTGACATGCACCCATCCACAGGCCAAGAGCCCGAGCCAGCCCCGCTGAGGTGGGCCTTTGGGGTGGGGAGGGCAGGGGGGATCATTCGCTCCCTGAACTGCCTGCCCACCAGGGGCTGCCACACAGTGTGGAGCAGCCCTGAGAGGTGAGGAGGGGTGGGGCAACTGAGGCATGGGACAAGGAAGTGACTCATTCATTGTCCCAAAGGGAATCTGTGGCAGAGCTGAGGGCAGAATCCAGGAGTCCTGACTCCAGACCCCCTCTAACCACTGTACCCCACTCCCCTCCCAGAGCTGGGACTAAAACACAGCCCCTCCCCATCCCCGTTCTGCCCTCTAGACCCCACTCCCGCCCCTCCCAGAGCCAGGACAGAACCCAGGAATCCTGCCTCCCAGCCTGCCCTGCTCTGATCACTGGACAATGCTCCCCCCACGACTGTCACTTTAGACAACTGCTTGAAGAAGCTAAAAGATAGGAGTTGGTTCAGCCCTTGGGGTGCCCCCCACTCCTCATGCCAAGGGAGGGATCTTATCTGGCGGGAGGCACCTTTCCCCTACTCCCCAGAGGTGAGTGACTGATTAGGAGGCTGGGGCTGGACTTTGGCCCCCCAGCCCAGGGGACGTGGGCTTCGTGTTTGCCTTCGACCCGTGCAGGGGTCAGCACCAGGAGCTGAGCCATTGGGAAAGAGGAGATGGCTGGGGGGGGGGGGCTACCCAGGGCACAGGGGCGGGGGGGGGGGGGATGGTGTGCATGTGCACACATGCACGTGTCCCTGCTGCCCCCTGCTGGAGGGGACGAGCCCTGCTCTGTGTGTGTGTGTGTACATGCATGCTCTGTGCGTATGTGTGTGTGTGTCCCCCTGCTGCCCCCTGCTGGAGGGGACGAGCCTCGCTCTGTGTGTGTGTGTGTACATGCATGCTCTGTGCGTATGTGTGTGTGTCCCCCTGCTGCCCCCTGCTGGAGGGGACGAGCCCCGCTCTGAGTGTGAGTGCACGTGTGATTGTGTGCACACGCTCTGTGTGTGTGTCTCTCTGTCTGCCCCCTGCTGGGGGGAGGGGGTAACGAGCCCTGCTCTGTGTGTGTCTCTGTGTATGTAGGCAGGGTTGCTGTAGCCGTGTCACTCCCAGGATACCAGCGGTTCTCCGCCGGGGGCACGCCTGCCCCCGGGGGTACACAGAGGTCTTCCGGGGGTACCTCAACTGACCTAGATATTTGCCTGGTTTTACAACAGGCTACCTAAACAGCCCTAGCGAAGTCCATGCAAACGACAATTTCATACAGACAATGACGGATTTATACCGCCCTATGCACTACGCACTGTAATATAAGTACAAGATTTATATTCCAGCTTATAATTTATAATTTATAATTATAATTTATAATTACACCTCTACGCCAATATACCGTGACCCGATCTAACACGAATCCGGCTATAACGGGGTGCAGCAGCGCTCGGGGGGGCGGGGCTGCGCGCTCCGGCGGACCTCCGACACGCTGCTCTGAGCGGCGTGTTAAGGGTGCTGGGCCGGGGCCGAGGGGTTCGATAAGGGGCAGAGGGTCTCGGGGGGCGGTCAGGGGACAGGCAGCAGGCGGGGTTGGATGGTTCGGAGGTTCTGGAGGCGAGGCGGTCAGGGGACGGGGAACGGGGGTGTTGGATAGGGCGTGGGAGTCCCAGGGGGCCTGTCAGGGGGCAGGGGTGTGGATAGGAGACGGGGCAGTCAGGGGACAAGGAGCTGGGGGGGGGGTTGGATGGGTCGGGGGTTCTGAAGGGTCAGTCAGGGGGTGGGAAGTGACTATTAATAACGGAAATGCTCGAGGCCAAAGCAAGTTTGATATAACGCGGTTTCACCTATAACGCGGTAAGATTTTTTGGCTCCCGAGGACCGCGTTATATCAGGGTAGCGATGTATATAGTTAAAAAATGAGAAAGTCAGCCATTTGTCCGTAAGAGTGGGGCTGGGACACTTTTGTCTTTTTAGGTCTGATTTTGTCAGCAAGTTGTTTTTAAGTGAGGTGAAACTTTGGGATACGCCAGACAAATCCGACTCCTGAAAGGGGGACAGTCGTCTGGAAAGGTTGAGAACCACTGGACTAGAGAGACAAGGTGGGGGAGTCAAGCTTTCTCTGTTGGCGAGGGAGTCAAGCTTTCAAGCCACACAGAGCTCTTCTCCAGGGCTAGGAAAGGGGCTCAGAGCGTCCCAGCTACATACAAGGTAGAACAGATGGTTTAGCATAAGCAGTTAACACAGATTTCAAGGCAGAGTGGCCCATTTACACCCCTGCAGTCACAGGGACACAAAGAGGGGTGGGTGGGTTACCGATTGCTGGAATAAGCCATAAAGCCAGTGTCTCTGGTCAGTCCAGGCTTTCTGGTGGCTAGCCGTGTTAGGAATGTCAGGGCCTGTCTACACTGCACACTGAAGTGGACCTATGTTACTGCAGTAATTAATGTGGTGGGTCATGTCCACGCTGCTCTCCGTCTGACGGCCAGTGTGGGTGGCTGAGAGCCCAGGCTGTCCCCTGGGCTCTCGGCTCCCCACTCCCTCCTGGCAGGGAGCTGGGAACCTGGGGAGCAGCAGGGCTCTAGCTGGAGCCCCCCACCCGCTGCGGGGTGACAGCCGGGGCAGTGAGCAGCTTTCTTGTCAATTGCCGACACAGAGCCGTGATATTGGCAAGAATGCCAGCCAAGGGCCCATGAGGGTAAGGCCCTGTCTACACAGACGCTGCGTGGTGCTAACACCGACGGGAGCCCTACGCCTCTCGTGGCGGGGCAGTTATCAGGGTTGTAGGGCGCTGACATCGGCGGGACACGGCCGTAGGGTGGACGCTGACATCATTAGGCAGCTTACGTGGCCCGAATGCCGGGGTGCAGCCCCGGCCGGAGCTCCCAGGCCAGCCGTTAGAAGGTGTTGTGCAGGTTTATTGGAGGTCGAGGCCGGAGAGGGCGGACGATCGCTGTGTGGCCAGGGCTCAACCCCAGGGGCAGGGGTCTGGCTGGTATTAGCCTGGGGGAGTTCACTGGAGAACGCAGGGGCTGTCTGGTTTCAGGGGCACTGATTGCACTGGCTGAGATAAACCACACGTTGGGCTCGGCACGGGTAAGACCCATGGAACTGGAACGGTGCCTTGCGTGGGGGGGGGGGTCTAGCCATGGGGATATGGCTGTGGATTTTGCATCTGTTGTTCTACCAGGACGCCTGGTTCTGTCCCCAGCTCTGGGAGGGGAGTGGGGGCTAGTGGTTAGAGCAGGGGGGGCTGGGAGCCAGGATGCCTGGGTTCTCCCCATAGCACTGGGAGGGAAGTGGGTCTAGTGGTTAGAACAGGGAGGCTGGGAGCCAGGACGCGTGGGTTCTCTCCCCAGCACTGGGAAGGGAGCAGGGTCTAGTGGTTAGAGCAGTTACTGACTCCAGCTGAGACTGCGCCCCATGTTGCTGCTGCCCCTGCCGGGGCTAGTGGTTGGAGGGGTCTGGGACGTGTCAGGGGGAGGGACAACCCTGAATCTCCTCCCCCATCCTGCTGAGGTTCCCCAGGAGCACAACGGCCAGGAGTGATGGGGTGTTGGGGGCCTGGGCACTGGGCGTGGGATCCATCCAGCTCTGACCAAGAGGGAATCACAGCTCCCCAGGGTTTATTGGGCAGTAATGGGGGGTGGGCTGTGGGGGCCTCCATCCTGGCTGAGACTGCCTGGGGCTGGGGTGAAGCAGAGACTGGAAAGGCCTGGGGGCTGCAGGGGGAAGGCAGGGCAACACTGGTTCACGGGGGCTGGGGGTGGAGAATCGGGGAGACACACCGTCTCACTGGGAGAGCGCAGGGGGACACACTGGCTCACCGGGGGAGGTCGGTGTGGGACATACTGGCTCACTGGGGGGGTGAAGTGGCCCAACCCCCTGTGCACTTTGGCCAGCGCTGTCATCACTGAGCCCCCAGGCAGCACAGCCCCCTCCCTGCCCCCGCCCTTGTCCAGGCTGGGGACAGGGCACCCCCACTGCATCCCCATGGCCTGGCCCTTCTAGCCTGCTTTGCACCGACAGCCCACGCCCAGCCCTGCCTAACAGGGCGCAGCCAGGGGAGGGGCGAGCACAGGACACTGCTCCAGCCCCCCAGGCAACACCCCCCCTGCCCCCAGCCCCCCGGACAGACTCAAGCAGGGACACAAGGAAACCACCACATGACAGCCCAGTGCTGGGATCAAAGGGGGTTTATTGTCCCCCCATGACACAGGGCACACCCACCCCACAGCAGATATCCCAGGACTGGGGGCAGCTCCCCCATAATCAGGTTCTCCTTGGCAATCAGTCTCCCCAGAGCAGAGCTGGATTTGACAGAAAGACAGATTCTGGTCTCTGCGTCAAACCAGAGTTTGAGGTACACATCCCAGCTGGGGGGGGGTCAAATTCTGGCTGAAGATTTGGAGAGGGAGGGGGACCAGTTTGCAATTGGGGGGGGGCTGGAGTTTGATGGGTGCCCTGTAACAACAGGGTGGAGGAGATGCACAGCCCATAGGGGGACCATCACCCCCAATCTGGGGGCCCCCCCAATGGCAACTCCAGGCCTCTTTGCACCACAAATGGCTCCGTTGCGATCAGATGCCCGAGGTCACGGCGGCTCAAGGGGGCAATGTTCTGGTGCTGCCCGGCCCTGGCGTTGGCGCCAGCCCGAGGGGGGCAGCATGGGCCGGCTCAGCTCCCTCCAGGGCACTGCTGCTGGTTGGCTGGTCCTTCAGAAAGTCCCGCCTTTCCCTTGCCCGCCGGTTCTGGAACCAGATTTTCACCTTGGAACAAACAATAGCAACAGTCACCGCGAACGTGGCCCCCAGACAGACCAGACCGGACACCTCCCTGGGTGCCATCGGCCCCAGCGCACAGAGAGGGAAACTGAGGCACAGAGCCAGGGCTGCACAGCAAGCCATGGGCACAGTTGTGAATTCAGCCCAGGAGCCCAGAGGCTCACTCGGGCCTTTTGGATACCCTCCAGTAGGGGGCGCTGTGGGAGCAGGAAAGCTAGTGCCTACGAGTCACCAGGATCCTCTGGCAGGGGTCATGGACAGGCTGGCTGCCCCAGGGCGCCCCCTGCTGGGGGATCCTCCGCACCGAGGGGATGGCTGCCCCTCTGGTGTTCCTTGCTGGGGGATCCCCTTTGCTGAAGGGCCAGCTGCCCCAGGGCGCCCCCCACCAGGGGATCCGCATCGCCAACAGGTCGGCTGCCCCTCAAGCACCTTCCGCCAGGCGATCCCCCTCACCGATGGGCCGGCTGCCCCAGGACTCCCCCTGCTGGGGGATCCCCCTTGCTGAGGGACCGGCTGCCCCTAGGACGCCCCCTGGGGGATCCCCCTCACCAATGGGCTGGCTGTCCCAGGGCACCCGCTGCTGGGGGATCCCCCTCAGTGAAGGGCCAGCTGCCCCAAGGACGCCCCCTGAAGGATCCCCCTCACCGACAGGCCAGCTGCCCCCTGCTCTAACAGGTGCTGATAACTGAGAGGATCCGTCTGGGGTTAATTCCCCGCCCAGCTCCCCCAGGCCCTGCCCGAGCCAGAGCCTCCTACCTGGGTCTCACTGAGCCCCAGCAGAGCTGCCAGCTCCCCCACCTGCCTGCTGCTCAGGTAGCGGGTCTGCCGGTAGCTGCCCTCCAGGACGCCGATCTGGGCCACGGAGAACGGGACGCGGGGCCTGCGGGGGGCCCGGCCGGGGCTGCCCCCGCACTTCGCTTCTGCGGGGAGGGGAGAGGGGAGAGGGGAGAGGTGAAGCAGGGCCTGCACAGCAGCCGGAAAGGAAGGACCAGGGCCGCCAGCCCCCCTTGCTGTTAATATCAGCCCCACATCTTTCCTTCTGGAAGCCACAGCCCCAGTGCGGTGCGAGGGGGCGCTGTGCTGCAGGGGGCGGGGGGCTCGGCAGGGGGCGCTCTCCCCTGGCACGCAGGGCTGGCCCCAATGGGGCACTAGGGGGCGCTGTGCTGCAGGGGCTCAGCAGGGGGCGCTCTCCCCTCGCACTCTGTGTTGGCCCCAGCCTGTTGCCGGAGGGGCTGAGATCCTGCTCACTCAAGCTGCTGGGGGTATCTGGGGGAGCCGGGGTGAACCCCCACCGTCCCAGCCATGCCCGGTGCCTCGTGGCGCTGCCATTCGTGGATGGCTGCAGGGCTTAGCCAGGGGCCCGGGCCACAGTGGGGCTCACCCCAAGGGCTCAGGAAGGGGAGGATCTTACTTGCCAGACGAGGCGGCTTGAAGCGGGAGCAGTGGATCCAGGCGTAGCCCGGCGGGGTCGCCCCCCACGCCACAGCCCCCTTGCCGAGCTCCTCCTGGCGCCCCCCTTCCCCCGTCCTCTCTGAGCCGCCCAGGGCCAGGAGGGAGCAGATGGAGAAGTCGGCCACCCGCCGGGGGGGTTGGGCTGGCCGGGCTTGGGGGAAGCGTAGGGCTGGATCCAGGGGTCCTGCTGGGGGGGCAAAGCCGGAGACCCCCTGTCTGAGGAGGAGGGGCCAGGAGGTGAGCACCCTGAGCTGGGCATAGTGCTCCAGGCTGCTGATGCTGAAGCTACCCATGGCCCCTGTGAGTAGGACGAGGAGACAGCAGAGCCCAGGAGAAGGAGGGGGGGTGTAGAGACCTGGGGGCAAGGGTGTGAGGTGGGGAGTGGAGCCCTGGGAGCCAGAGGAGTGTGCACTGGGGGCAGGAGGGCTAGCCAAGGGAGTGCGGGGTAGGGGGGTAGCAGGGGGAGTGGGGGGCAGGGGGAGCAGAGCCCTGGGGTCAGGGAGGCCAGCCAGGTGAGTGGGGGGCAGAGCCCTGGAGGATGGAGGGCCGGGAGGGGGAGTGGGAGGGTGCTCGAGAGGTACTGGCTGAAGCCCCGGCCCCTATTTAAGGGCAGAGCGCTGGCCAGAGGAGCTTTAGCGGGATTTACGTGGGACCAATCAGGGCGATAGGATCACCTGGCAGCAGCGAGGGGAGAGGAGGGGCCAGGGACACTGGATTCCCAGTGTGGGGGTCCTGGGAGCTCTGGGCCACGGGGAACCCACGGGGAATGTGGTTCCCCCCCCAAACCTCACAGCTGAACGCTCCCCCGGTGACGGGGGCTGTGACAGCACATGGGGAAGGGGGCTGCTGGCATCTCAGCACTAATGAGAGTCGAGACCTGCAGTGAACTATGGATGGGTTTCAGGGATCCCTCGCCTGGCGCTGAGATGCAGCCACCTCTGGGGTGAAGCGCAGCAGCTGTTTAAAAGATGCAGCAACACCACACTGCTGGTTGGAACCGAAAGTGAAGGAGGATCCCGTATCCCAGCTCACAACCCCCGCCATGCGTTTCTAGCCCTGGGCTCCCCACGCAGCTGTGCCAATGAGCTTCACTCCCAACCCGCAGCCCCCTGCTAGCCCAGCCCTGGGTTCATTGGCTGGCATGTGGGGCAGGGGGTGGGGGTTGGTAATGTGACAAGCTTTCTCCCATGAGAATGGGCTGAGAACTGTAAACTCATTGCCCCTCTGCCCCTGCTCCAACCTGAACTCCAGAGCTCGGGTTCCCAGCACAGGCCCCCTGCCCTGGGGCCAGTGTGCCTCCCCCCTTCAGCTCCCACCTGCCTTCCCCTGGCTGTTTACCTGCCTTTGGCTTCATCTCTCCCCAAAGGCTCCTGTTACCCTGCCACTTCTCCGGTGCCCCGGCCGTTGTCAGGAGAACGCTTGATCCAGCTGCTGGTTTCGGGATTAAGAAGAAGCACAAAAGAGTCTGCCAGCCAAGGGGCCGCAATTGACTAATTACCTGCTCGACCTCTAATCCCCGGCGGGGAGTGCTGGGGCGCACGTAACCCAATCGCACCCTCTTCCCATTATACAACGGGGCTCCTGGGAGACTGACTGACGCAGGCACAGTTGCCCCCCCCCCATCCCACCCCCATCTCGGCCTCTCGGCAGGGAGAGATTTGCTGAGAGCAGAGGGCTCCCTAATCCAGCAGACAAAGGCAGAGCAAGATTGGATGGCTGGGAACTGAAACGAGAGAAAATCTGGCTAGAAATAAAGTGCAAATTGTACAAAGGGAGGGGAATTAACCATTAGACAGAACCCAGGAGTCCTGGCTCCCAGCCCTGCTGCTCTAACCCACTAGACCCCACTCCCCTCCCAGAGCTGGGTTCCAGGAGTCCTGGCTCCCAGCCCCCTTGCTCTAACCCACTAGACCCAACCCCCCTCCCTGAGCTGGGGGAGAACCCAGCCTCCCCTGCTCTAACCAATAGACACAACACTCCCCTCCCAGAGCCAGGGTTAGAATCCAGGAGTCCTGAACAATGGTGTTGCCGGCACCCAGTGAGGCTGAACAACAGCTTGAGTTGGTTCGTTACCCGGTGTGCTACACCCAATAATCACAACGGGGTGGAGAAGCAGAAAAGTTTATTTGCAGCTGCAAAAAGGTACAGGGAGAATAAAATCTGAAATCCTGCACAACAGAGCAGGAAGTTACACAGGCTTTTATACATCCTTTTTTCCAGCATACTTGTCCAATAGCAAGCTGCCCCAAGTATCCATATAGCCAGCCAATCCAGTTCCCAGCTAGTTCCCTGATTCTCTGTATCATTTGTTAAACTATACATAAAGCTGCTTTATTCAGCATTGTTCTTCCATATCTCCCCTGTTTGGCCTTGCTTAGTTTCAGGCAGTCTGACTCTGCAACATACTATTGCAGATTCTCAGCATAACTGCTGTGTGTGCCTCCAGGCGGGGGGGGCCAAGGACACTTGGGCCTAGTACGCAGAGCTGCTGCGAGTGCCTCCAGGCAGGAGGGGGGGCCAAGGACACCTGGGCCTAGTGCCAGGGGGCTTCATCGACACTCGTGGTCTTCCATCCCCTCGAGTTACCTCGTGGCCATGCCCCAGTGTCCCCAACAACTCCCCCCTTTGAGAACACTCAACAGCCTTGGCTCTGAGTTTTCTCACTTGGGCTACTTATTTCTTTACAATATGACTTTGCATAAGCACTTTGTGATAGCCCTGAAGAGAATGACTTATTAACTTTCGCAAAAGGGCCCTAAAACATGATACCGCACAGCATAATACCAGTAATACAAGCAATACAGGAAAGAGAAGTATCAATAGCAGGCTAAATAAACCACCCAGCCAAGACGACAAACCCCAGCCTGAAAACAAGGTTTGCAACCAATCGTTCTCTGGGGCAGTATAGGCAACCTGTGCTCCGGCTTGGGCATGGGCCTCAGCCTGAGATCTCATAACTGCTATCATTTACATATACACACCATTGGGGCCCGATGAGGGCACAAACCCCTCCTTGGGATGCCAAGATAGTCCAAAGCCAGCCTGTTTTGGAGGGAAAACGTCCTGAGCTGCTGTAACTCTTTATTTAATGTTTTTACTGCTGACCCTAAATCACTAACCGAGTCCTCTAACTCTAAGGCCACTTTCTCAAATACCATCTGCAGCCTTACAGTATAGCGGCCTATGCATGCCATGGCTGGCCCGGTAAACAGTGGCGCTATTCCCAGTACAGAGCACCCTACCAGCTTCTCGGTTGTGAGGGGATTCTTCATATTGCCCTCTAATGCCATAGTCAGTCGCCGCAGGGTCTTTTCTCGTGACTCAACAGAGGTGTCTCGGGCATTTCTAATCTTTCCTTTGGGCAGTGTGGCAGTTATGGAAAGATGAGGAACTCCATGAGCTATATAACAGCTACCTGTCCAGTTGGCTGGCAGCACCTTGTAAGCCTTTCGGCCACATACAAAATAGTGACCCTGTAGGGCCCAGTAAGGACTGTTTCTTAAGGGGATTCCTGGGATATTTAAGGCTGCTTTTCCAAACAGTTCATATGCCCCTAGGGGGGCATCCCATCCTCCTGACTGGGTACAAGTGGGGGCATTTCTAATTGTGCCATTCAAATTACACTCGCCATAGGGACCACTACAAACCCACCATTGGCTTGCTACATTGGAGATATTAACTGGACAGCATCTTAATTTGTGGGGGTGAGTTTAGTTCAGAAGGGATAAGTTAACTGCAAAGAGAAGGGAAGGGGTGAGGGGGCAGGGATGGGGGTGGAGGGGACTGAGATGAAAAGACGCTGCGGAGTGGGAAGGTTGGAGCAAACACCCAATCCACCCAGGGCAGAGAAAGCAACAGCAAAACTGCAAAAAGTTCTTTAAATCACAACTGGACGTCTCTTTATAAAAGCACCTCTCTAGCTCAACCACCAGATCTGGGCTGGCTGCAGGTCTGGCTGGCTAGCTGGATTCCCTGACCCTGGCCAGGAAGGCCTCAGGCGGGATGATCAGAATGATCCCTTCTGGCTTGAGAATCTCCGAGTCGTCCCACGTGCTGTGACCCAGGGAGCTGCTGGTGCCGGCTGGCCGTTGATCACAGGGTTCCCTGGGCTGGTCTCTGCATAGTTCCTCAGAGGGTGTGGTGTGAGATCTCTTCTCAAAGCCTGCGTCACGACAGGCGCCATACTCACCGCAAAACCTGTGTACGGCTAATGCGCAGGGAGTTACGCGTCTGCAGTGAGTTGGGGCTGATCCCCAGAAGGTGATGAACAAATTTCTTTTGGGCAGGAGATGCTGATTTCTCTGCCTGGCTGCATGTAGCTTGACCTTCACCGTGAGCGCCGGCGTACAGGCTGAGCAAAGTGCGAATCGAGTGATGGCAAAGTCTGCAAAGGAAAAAACAAGCTGCCCGGTTTACAAGTGAAGACAACAAATTGTTGGAACTACATCCGGGGGTACAGAGGTACACCTCACTATTCTGCCCCTAGCTTGTCTTCTGAACAGAGGATTGCAGCTGGCCTGGTGGTTTAATGCTGGGAGAGTCAGAAAAGTGGCTTGTTATGTGCAGGCTTTAGAATGGGGGTTATGATTTTATTTTATACGTACCCATTTGTTTCCATTAATTCTACTTGCTTCTTCTCAAATCTCTATTCTGCATTAAATAAACATATACCTGTTTTCTCTAAGACGTATCTAAGAGCTAGGCACAAGGTGAGGGAGGTAATATCTTTTACTGGACCAACTTCCATTGGTGGAAGGTACAAGCTTTCGAGCTGGTGGAATCAGGGAGCTGACCCCTGGCAGGCACACATAAGGTTTCCTCGCGCTAAGGACGGGTGGTAGCGAGGTGCCTCGCAATGCTGGGTACCCCCGGGAAGCATCAGACATGCATGTGGCAGAGATTGGCTGCAAAGCTGATCTAATACGTGGACAAGATTCTCGGGCTACAAACTGCTTTAAACTTGGGAGGGGAATATCTATCACTTCAGTGATTAAAAAAAACAAAACGCAAATCATCCAGAGGGGAATGTTTACTGTCCTCCATAATCACCAACATCTGGACAGCGGGAAATTCAGTGGAAATTAAAGTGGAAGTTTCTGGTTAAAAAATAATAAAATTAGAAAATTATTTTTAAAAATGTACAGTTGAGGTCACTGCATTAATCTTAACTCCACCCCCAGGATCAGACAACCTTAACTCCATCCCCTCCCATGATACTTTCACCAAAACAACGGCAAGTATCAGATACACACAGCTAACTGCACCTGATCAACCTTAGCTTTGTGCTGTATTGAGTCAAACAGCCTTAAACCCACCTCCCTTCCCATCTCATCAAATAGCCTTAACTCTGCCTCTACTTCCTGTCTTATTGGAAAATATAAACAATGCACAGATCACCAGATCAACCTTAACTTT